TATAATTAGAAAATACACCATTGACTACGAATCTCTTTCATGGATATCCGACTCAATGACTCATTTTGCTTGGCGTGGGGAAATCTAGAAAGGAAGATGTGCAGAGCTCTCTTCCTTGATACCTTGACACCTGTACCCAAGGCTCTCTGAAGGAATGTATTAAGCATGTATATCCATTTCCTTAAGATATTTAATTACTAGGAACCATTTTCCTTGGGGCAGGGGGGGGGGAATGTTCTATGCAAAAATGTACTTAAATGTAACTTTAAAGAAAGTACAAAAAAAAAATTTCCATTTTTTTTCCTGAATTTAAGTACCCACACCAGCCTTGTCTTCCATTGGTAGCCATCACTCAGCTAGCACAGGTGATGTTCAGGGTTGATGAAGCTCAATTTTTTTAAAAAAAGCTTAGGCTTTTCTTCTCTTAATTTAAAATGTATTATAATCTCTCACCTAAAAATAAACTAAGAACATATAACTTAAAACTCTGTTCAACTCTACCAATTTGCTTACAAATCTTGTTCTCTTAGTTCTTAGGACTACCTCCCTGAAAAGGTACATTGATATATCTTCTGAGATTATAAAAATTCCCATAATACAGCCAATCCAAGATGGTACCCTACAGATGTGTTACAAATTGAATTTTCATAATCAGGGATTAGTGTGGGGTAGAAATTGGGAACAAGAAGAGTCAAATCGATCACAGCAGCTTCATGATGCAAGCTCTATCATTTTTGTACACAGATAATCCTTGACCCACAATTTGGTGTCCCAATAGAAACAACCAGCAGACTGTTACAACCATATGGAATCACTGTAGCACACCAATCAAAGCCCTCCAAAACATCTTAATAGTGTTAAACTGTGTTTCTCCAGTAGCCCAAGAAGAAAAGGAAACCAGGAATCATCTATAACAGTGATGGCAAACCTTTTAGAGACCGAGTGCCCAAACTGCAACCCAAATCCCACTAATTTATCATTGGGTGCCGGGTAGGCGTGGCCCACTGGGTGGGCATGGCTGCAGTAATCATGGCAGACTGGGTGGGCTTGGCTAGGGTGGGCGTGGCCACCTTGATGTTGCTTGTGGGGAGGGATGCCTGTGGGGGTCTGGCAGGGTTGAGAAAGATCCAGGGGGTCTCTGGCGGGTGGGACGGTGGGCAGGAGGCTCATCTTGCGGGGTGAGCGAGACCAGGCAGAGGTCAGGGCAGGAGTGTCTGACACCATCGGCCCCCGCACACAGCAAACGCATTAAGGGCCAATTGTGTCCATCAGCAGCCACAGCCTGCCGCCCCCTTGACTGGTGACTCTGAGGCTCCGCAGCCTGCTATGAGCCTCAGAGTGCACCAGGCCAGCCCTCCAGCAGCAGGCGGAGTAGTAGAGGGGGGATCCGGTATATCGGTTTCTTACCTCCATCTGACTTGTTCCACAGCCTTATGGCAGCAGCATTGGGCACAATACACGAGGTGACAAATGGCTGGTTTCGGCGTGATGTGGCTGTTTGCTGCCAGCCGCGGCCATTTGCCTCCTCACGCGTTGCATCCAATGCCACTGCCATGAGCCGAGGAACTAGCCGGGCAGAGGTAAGGAACCAGTATACCAGTTTCTTACCGCTGCCCAGCTTATTCTGCGGCCTCATGGCAGCGGCATTGGGCAGGAGGCAGCAAACAGCCAGTTTCGATGTGGCACAGCTATTTGCCGCCTTGTGTGTTCTGCCCAAGACCGCTGCAATGCGGCTTAGCTGAAAGTGGCCATAGAACAAATGGGGCACATTCCATCATCTGCCCATTTAGCTACAGCTTTGGTGGCTCTGTAGGCAGAGCTGCGAAGTTCTGTCAAAGTAGCAGGTGGATTGCCGGAGGCTCAGGGAGGGAGGGCACTGAAGTGGGCGGTCAGGCCGTTAGCGGTTGAGTGGAAAGGTGCCTCAGAACAAGTGGGACAGGTAAGGAAAGAAATCCTTGCTCCCTCTCCAGAAACTGCCTTTCTTTCCTTACCTGACTCCCAGGCCCATGTAATTTCTCCTTCACGATCTGCCGCTGCCAATTGCAAGGACAAAGGAAGTTTTTTTTGGGGGGAGGGGAAAGGTCAATCAATCAATTCCAACTTCTTGTGAAAGATCACAAAGTTGGAATTGATTGATTGACCTTCCCCCCCCCAAAAAATTCCTTTGTTTCCTTGCATGCTTCAGCACCGTCCCTCCCCAAGCCTCCAGTACTCCACTTGCTGCTTTGGTTGGCCTGCCAGTCCCCACCTCAACGCCATGCCCACTGCCGCCTAGTACAGCCACCCCAGGGCTGCAGGGGCTGGCCTGACATGAGAAGGGCATGCGTCCCACCCTCCTGCCACCATGCAGGGTAAGGTTGCCGCACCTGCCCCTGACCAGATGCCCTCGCCTCCCCCAAGTGTTTTTTTTTTTACTAACCTGCCTTTCAGCTGCATTCTGGTTCTCCGTTCACTTCTCAACCTTCGCTGCAAGATCTCGTGAGAAGTTAAAAAGTCTGATGGAACTTTTTTTTTTTACCGATAGTCCCACAAACACGTGGTAAAGGCTGAGAAGCGAATGGAGAAATGGAATGCAGCTGAAAGGCAGGTTAGTAAAAAAACGCTTGGGGGAGGTGAGGGCATCTGGGCAGGGGTGGGCCTGGCAACCTTACCCTGCACAGCTTCAGCAGGTGTCTGGCAGGGGGAGGGAAGCAACTGGTCTACCACCATGCTAGTGCTGCTGCATTGCTTCTCTATCCCATGCACAGACTCCACCCCACCCCTCGCACGGAGCACCCTGCTCCCATCGTTCCCCTCACCCCCACATGGCGCCTTCTTTCCAGCTCCTATGCGTCACCTCCTCCGCCACTGTGTGGGACTAAAAATAAAGTTCAATCAATCAATTCCAACTTTGTAAGATCTTTTTTTTCCCTGCGAGAAGTTGAAATTGATTGATTGATTGAACTTTTTTTTTTTTGCACACGGCAGTGGAGACCTAAAAAAAGGTTTTATAAAACCCAGCTTAAAAAGCCACTTGCCCAGGGAGATTTTGATGCAGGTTGTTCATGGATGGGACTTAAGGCCTTGGACTGAAGCGACGGCGTGCGTGCCCACAGAGAGGGCTCTATGTGCCACCTGTGGCACACGTGCCATAGGTTCACCACCACGGATCTATAACATGTAGTATAAGCACTATAAGAAAGAAAGGCAGAAGACTTGTAAAGTGAATCTATGAACACCAAGTAGCAAGTAAAAAAAAAAAAACACCTGATGAAAACTCCTTGATTTCACAATGTGTAGGCAGACTTAACCAAAGTTTCAGCTGGGAAACTGAACATCCCAAACCTAGCTAAATACAAAAAATGTTAGAGAACCTCTGAAAGCTAGGCCCTCAGACAAATCAATCCTCAATAGGCTCATAGAGATAAGCCACATTTACACATGATTCAAAAGAGACAATAAAAAAGCTAAAAAGGAAAAATCGGAATACCTCCTTGCCAGCAATCAATGGCTAGATAAGCCAGAATTAACATCAGAAGCAACAGCAGACAAATAATCAAGCAATAAACCCTAATCAAGGAACTATTAGCTCAGACAAATCATCAAGCACTGAACAACAGCCTATTCAAGGAAGAAAACAGCAGCCCTACCAGTACCAACAAGACATTTTACTATATATAAACATACAGCAAATTCCACTCCCTTCTAGTATTGAAGATGTTACCCAATCAGGTACTGAAATGGCTGTAAGAAAACAACAAGCTGAGAAAGTACCAAGGACTTCACGGTGAGACATCACATGACCACATCGCTTAGTAACCACAATCGTCACACTTTCTGTTGCTCTTGTAAACTGAGAATCATAGGTCGTTAAATGGATACTCACCTCAATTGAGGCCATTCTGGGCTTGGTTGCTTCCATTCCTGAGCCTCAGTAAGGTATGGATTTGCCTTGCTGGTTGGCAAAGCAGTGTGGCTCTGGGAAAGCTTGCCAGGCTTAGGAATCTGCAGCTGCCCCACCCCATCCCAGCTATAGTCGCCCTTGCCACCTGGAAGTCCCTCGAGTCCTTGCCATCCTGCACTCTTTGCCAAGCTGACTTTTGCTGTCTCCTTGCTCTGGCTACTGACAAGATATGCCTGGCCTAACTGCTGGGTCAGGTTGGAGCTGGGCTTTGCTCTGAGTGGGTGGAGAAAAGCCAAAAGCAACTCTAGAATTGCAGTGCACTGGGATCACCTTTGCTTTTGCTGCTTTTTCTTTTTCTTTTCTTTTTCTTTTTTGGAATACAAAGCCCTGTTCTGGCCAAATGTTTTTGGCAAAAGGACTGCTTCTGCCCCCACTTTTTTGCAGCATGAAACCCCAGCCATATGCTGGACATGTCTTATCTGCAATGGGACCAAGAAGGTGATGGTCAGTTGGGGCCACTTAAGATTGCAGGATTTATTTATTTATGGCAACCAGAAATGGTGTAACTGTTGTTGTAAATTGATGTGGTCATGTGACTGCCTGTTATGACTTTGTTTTTATCGATGGAGTTGATGGTCCTAATTACTGTGTTACATGAAGACATCTATATCTTCATTTTTTTTCCAACAAGGATAAAACTAAATTTATATGCTGCCCAGAGTTGCTTTTCAGAATGAGTTGGGGATCATATAAATTGAATAAATAAATAAAACTTTGAGCAAAGCTTTTTGTCGGGTATCCTGTTTTATGTTCCATCACTTATGCTAGGATCAGATATCTCAAATGGCAGTTTAAATATTTTTCTGTTTACTTCATACATCTGTGGCTAACTTTGCTTCAAAATATCACACTAATAATTGTAATAAATGAATCACACATACGGTATTTAGAAAGAACTTGATTTTGACCAGGGAGGACATAGTTTGATCTGATAATTTCCTTCCTCCACTTATGTTGGCATTCTATTAAAAATTCACATTATTATGAACATTTAACATGTTTAAATACAACGTTTGTGAATGGAATTAGCAAAAAAGTCAACTAATAGTAAATTTACCTGCCAGAAGTCTGTGACAGTAGAAGGCAATGCACCCTGAGCAGCTATATATGCAGGGTTTCTAGGATCATGGTCCATCTGCGAAAAAAGGAGAAAGGGGGAGAATCTAATTAAAAGTGTTCAACAGAAAATAAAATTCTGATATTCTGGATTATATTTTTGGACTAAGTTAACTAGGAAAAGTATTTATGCTATTGCTTGAAGAAAGTAGGAACATTGTATTTCTTTCTTTTTAGGGAACACTTTTCCTGAATAAATTAGTGATATTAGTCTAACATTAACATACATAACAATTAACAATCTAAGTTCTAAATTTGCAGTATGAGATCATTTAAGGAATATTTGCTGGCAAAATGTATTTATTCAAGGGTTTGTTAGTGTCATAGCAACATAGAAGCTGCTTCAAACGTGTTTAAGTATTGAGCATTTGGAATGCAGGGCACATTTAAGTATTTCTTTTATTTCCGTCATAGTACTCAAGGACATAAGCACATAAAAACAATGCAGAATTGAAGGAACAAAACCCCTCAATCCTGGCTTTTCTGCTTAGTTCATCTGATTAAAATATAGGCTTCTAACCTTCAATAGTGGAAATTCTGTTTAAAGCGATTAATTATTACATCTGCTTCTGGCTGAGCAGAAAAAAAAAAGAATTTTTTCAAACAAAGCCAGAAGAGTAAAATAGGATTTTACATGGTTACAATGAATGTTTTCAACCTGATAAGTGTGTTTTCAGGTCCTAAATCTCTGGCCCTATTATCCTAATAAGGACAAGATCAGTGGATGGAAGTTAAACCACAACAAAAACAACAAAAAACCACTGATAGTAACTCTTAAAAAAAGAATTAACCATACATACATGCAGGAGCAATGCTAATATTCTGTTTGTAGTTACAAGAACACTAGATCTATCTCATTGAGCAACTGCACTTATTACATCCTAAAAATACAACAAAATTTAATACTAAAAATAGTATTAAAAGTATTAAAAAGAATTTAATAAACCAATGGGACATTTGCAAAATACAAATTAAAGTAAGCCAAGTAAGTAATTTTAAGATCCAAGTTCCATATTACATGCAAGATATCTTTTGGAATTTCTAATAACAAAACAAGAAAAAACATTTAAAATGCTGTTCTGAAAAATTGCTGGTATTCTTAGCAGCAGTTGTACTAAGAGAAAAGCAAACAAAACTGAATCCTTTTCCCTGAAACTTTTTCTCTCTAATTGAAATTTAACAGCAAAATTAAACAAAATGAAATTCTAAGACATTCTATATGGCTCCATTATTACTGTTTTTAATCTGTGTATTTAGTTTCAGATTCCTAATTTAGGAAATATTTTCCAAAATTACTTGTAAGGACTGTTGACTTTGTAAAGAACTGAGTCATCCATTGGAGTGTGGAGTGTGGATTCCATTACACACTCTCACTAATGTACTTATATCCAATGGATTCCAACGAAATAAGATTACCAAACTAATCTAAAAAGAAATCCCCACTAAAACCCAAGACAGAGAACAAGAAAACGGCAAAGCCCTCCCCCCTTACATAAAAGGCACCACAGACAGAATCAGTAAGATCCTCCACAAACACAACATTAAGACAGCATTCTGCCCAAACAGAAAAATATCCATCATCCTAAGAAACCCCAAAGATAAAATTGAATTAGAAAATCAAGGAGTATACGAAATCCCATGCACCACTTGTCCCACCACATACATCGGACAAACCAACAGAAGAATAAGTGCACGCATTGAAGAACATAAAAACTCAGTCAAAAAAGAGGAACCAACTTCTTCCCTGGTCCAACACCTTAAAATCACAGGACATGAAATTGACTTTAAAAAGACCAGAACTATTGCCAAAACTGAACATTTTAATAACAGAATAATCAGAGAAGCCATCGAGATAGAAAAACGCCCACACAGCATGAACAAACGAGATGATACCTCCCGCCTACCAGCCATTTGGAAACCCGTCCTTATTGACAAATGACTCCCTAATACAAAAAATGACACCAGACCCACACTCACAAAAACCACACAGGATGTCACCACCACACATCCACGCAAAAAGCAAACCCAAAGCCACACTGATGATGAGGCACGACCACAAACCAGAAGCCAGACCACAGCTGCAGCATTAGCCACTTTAAACCCCTCCAATCCATACATGAAGCAAACTGACACCCTCCATGAAGATGAGGCACGACCACGAAGCCAAAAAATAGCAAGGCAGCCCAAAATCTTAAACCCCCCTGCAACTCAGACTAACCTGAGCACAACCAAACAGAACACTCCCCCAGCCAATCAGAGCACAGCCAACCCCCAGCCAATCAGAGCACAGCCAACCCCCCAGCCAATCAGAGCACAGCCAAGCTCCTAACCAATCAGAACACACATCCATCCAATCAGAACACAGCCAAGCTCTCATCCAATCAGTTCATACCCCCACTGGCAGTTAAAAGGAGGAAACAGCTACAATCACACATTGCTCCTAGAAGCACGAAGCTGAAAGCACCAGCCTGAAGATGACGAATGAGACTTCGTCGAAATGTCGCCAAGACACTTCCAATTTTACACACACACACACACACACACACACACACACATATACACACATACATACATACATACATACAGGTCTTGGTGTATTCGGGTCTTTTCCCGTGTAAGATTGAGAGTATCTTGGCGACGTTTCGATGAGGTCCCACTCGTCATCTTCAGGCTGGGGTCTTCGGCTTCGTGCTTGTGCGAGCAAAGTGTGATCGGATGTGCCGTCTCTCTCTATATATTGGTGGGGGTGTGTGGAGTGCTGGCTTAGTTGCTGTAGGTGGATTGGTTGGCTGTGTTGGAGTTATTGTTTGTGGATTGTTTGGCTGTTTTGTAACATCCTGAGTAGTTGAGGTGCTGGCTGTGTGTCCATTAGTCTTTTGTGTTGTAACGACCTGGGTAATGGGTTGTGTGATGACATCCTGAGATCTAGTGTAGTGATATCCTGAGTTCTGTGTTGTACCATCCTGCGTGGTTGGCTGTGTTGTAACATCCTGAGGTTTAGCGTTGTAGCCTCCTGAGTTCTGTGATGTGATGTCCAGGGCTGAAGGCTGTGAAATAACATATCGGCTCCGAGTTTGCGGTCTAGTTCTGTGTTCATGGCGTGTGTCCGTTTGCTTTGTGTGGGGTTCGGAGGGAGGTGCAACAGCTGGTGATGTCGTCTTGGTTTGGCTTCTGGTTGGTGGTTGCATTTCGTCTGAGGGATGGGTTTGGGCTTGGGTTTGGGTCTGGTGAGGGTGAATGTTGGTGGCGTACTGTGTTGTTCTGGGTCCGGTGTCAATTTTCGTGGCTAGGACTCGTTTGTTGATTAGGGCTAGTTTCCAGATGTCTGGTAGGCGGGAGATATCGTCACGTTTATTCATGTTGTTTATTCATATGCAATTGAATATCAATATCTTTGTTACATTTTTCTAATATTATATATAATATCAGTACTGTCAGTTTAGAATATCTTTTCTAACCAAAATATATCTCGATTACATTTGCACTTAATACCCATTTGTTCAATCAATGTACTATTTTTCCTGCTTTTTAAAAATTTTGATTTCCTATCACTGTTCAAAGTGTCTTTGTCACTTATAATTTTCTCATAATAAATTATATTTGGGCAATCAAAGGCTTCCCTTGTTCAAACCCTCTTAGCATTTCATATTTCCCTTCTCATTCCAAAATATAAAATTCTAGTTATAAATCCTATCTTTCTAATTAATAATAATAATATATAGTTAGACGGGACCTTGGAGGTCATCTAGTCCAGTGGTTCTTAACCTTTTTGAATGAATCGCCCCCTTGAGCCAATGAGGAAGTTGTCATTGCCCCCCTCCCCCAACATAACCTCTCAATCACAACATAGGAAATAATTCTTCAATTTATGCAAACACTTTTTTTGTTTTCTTTAAAATTTCATCAGGACATATCGATGCAAATAATTTATTTCCAGGCTTTTTCCCATATCTCCCATATTCTGGCCAGTGGTGTGCCACTGTATGGGTAGAGGCTGCTACGCAACGTGCATGAAGATAAGCAATGCGTATTCACATATGTATGGCGTTCTGTACTGAAGCTAGCTGGAGGAACATTTGAAAACACAATTCAATCCACTAATAGCGAGCGATCTGATTTTTTTGTATGACAGATATACAGCGATTCACTGTATGAAAAAGTCTCAAAAGTGTTCCCAAAACTTCTCGCTCCATCGCCCCCATATCGACCCCTTTTCGATCCTTCACCCCCATGTCGCCCCTTTTCGTTCTATCGCCCCCCTGAAAAATGAAATCGCCCCCTGGGGGGCAATATCGCCCAGGTTAAGAACCACTGATCTAGTCCAACCCCCTGCTCAAGCAGGAAACCCTATATCAATTCAGACAAATGGCTGTCCAATCTCTTCTTAAAAACTTCCAGTGTTGGAGTATTCACCGCTTCTGGAGGCAGATTGTTCCACTGATTAATTGTTCTAACTGTCAGGAAATTTCTCCTTAGCTCTAGGTTGCTTTTCTCCTTGGTTAGTTTCCATCCATTGCTTCTTGTCCTGCCTTCAGGTGCTTTGGAGAATAGCTTGACTCCCTCTTTGTGGCAGTCCCTGAGATATTGGAACACTGTTATCATGTCCCCCCTCATCCTTCTCTTCATTAAACTAGACATACCCAATTCCAGCAACCGTTCCTTGTATGTTTTATCCTCCAGTCCCCTAATCATCTTTGGTGCTCTTCTCTGTACTCTTTCTAGAGTCTCAACATCTTTTTTATATCATGATGACCAAAACTGGATGCAGTATTCCAAATGTGGCCTTACCAAGACATTGTAAAATGGTATTAAACTTCACGTGATCTTGATTCTATCCCTCTATTAATGCCGCCTAAAACTGTGTTGGCTTTTTTGGCAGCTGCAGCACACTGCTGGGTCATGTTTAAGTGATTGTCCACTAGGACTCCGAGATCCCTCTCACAGTTACTACTACTGTACCTCCTATACCAGTGGTGGCGAACCTATGGCACGTATGCCAGAGGCGGCACTCGGAGCTCT